TGTAATGTGTAATCAATGAATGCTGATGCCTTTGTTTGTTAAAATGTGTAAATAATATAAAGTTGACATGATTGGGGAGCTACCCTTTTGTGGATTACCACCAAGATCCCTACTTTGTCAAACTAGAATAAACAGAATTATCTTGCCTCAGTGTGTGAATTGACACTGCGCATTGCGTAATGAGCTCATGTTCAGGACAACACTGGTACAGGGGCTTCTCAGTTCTCTGAAAACAGCACTCAGGAGGATGCCCAATGCCCTATTTCTTTGAAGTGTTTAAATATCACACTGACAAAGTATTTCCTCTGCTCCAACCTCATTTTCCAGCCTGGCTGCCTTCAGCTTTTTGTTCTCAAGCAATTTTGGTCATTAGGTGAGATGTTCAAATGCTTCTCTTTTCTCAATTAATATGTTTAATAGGTTTGTATGGCTTTGTTGATCTCACCAAGGCTTTCGATACTGTGAGCAGAAAAGGTCTATGGCAGATTTTGGCATGTTTAGGATGTCCCCCCAAGTTCCTTAAAATGATCATCTCACTTCATGAGGATCAGCACGGCCAAGTCAGATATGGCGATGCACTTTCTGAGCCCTTTCTAATAACCTATGGCGTGCAACAAGGTTGCATTCTTGCACCAACCCTATTCACAATCTTTTTCAGCATGATGCTCCAAAGGGCCACAGCAAACCTCGATGATCAGGACAGTATCTACATTTGATACCATACTGATGGAAGCCTATTCAACCTAAGGCGACTGAAGGCCCATACTAAGACCTTAAATCAACTTGTCCGTTAGCTGCTTTATGCTGATGACAACGCCCTCGTCGCCCACACAGAAGTAGCTCTGCAGCGTTTAACATCCTGCTTTGCAGAGGCTGCTGAGCTCTTTGGGCTGGAAGTCAGCTTAAAGACGACAGAAGTTTTCTATCAACCTGCACCTCAGGAAGTCTTCCATCATCCCCATGTCAGCATTGGTGAATCAGAGCTCATAGCAGTCCAGCAGTTTAATTACCTAGGTAGCATCATATCCTCGGATGGTAAGATTGACAGAGAGACAGACAACAGGTTAGCAAAGGCATATAGTGCTTTCGGAAAACTCCATAAAAGAGTTTGGCAAAATAAATACCTGAAGAAAAGTACCAAGATCAGTGTTTACAGAGCCATTGTGCTGTCTACTCTTTCATATGGGTCTGAATCGTGGGTCATTTACCGCCACCGCTTCCACCACCGCTGCCTCCGTACAATCCTAAATATCCACTGGTCAGATTATGTGACTAATATATCTGTTCTAGAATAAGCAGCAGTCACAAGTATTGAGGTCATGCTACTGAGAACACAGCTGTGCTGGGCAGAACACGTCTTGAGGATGAAGGACTACCGCCTCCCTAAGATCTTGCGTTATGGTGAACTTACCACTGGCTGCTGCAAGAGAGGAGCCCCGAAGAGAAGATACAAGGACTCCCTGAAGCAACATCTCAGCCTTGGCCATATTGATCATCATCACTGGTCTACTCTGGCCTCCAATTGGGAGGTCTGGAGACACACTATCTTTAACGCTTTTGAGAAAGCACACAGGATCACTCTCAAGGAGAAAAGACAACGCAGAAAGAATCGTGTCTTGTCGATACCACCTAAGGAGTCTTTCTGCTGTGCCTTTTGCAACCGGACTTGTCTATCTCGCATGGGCCTTTTTAGCCACCAGGGCACTTGTAGCAAATGTGTGTAGAGTCCTTCCCAAATCTTTGTTCGTGAAGCCTAGCCACGATCATGATGATGATGATGGCTATGTAAAAGTATTGATTCTGAAATAGCAAAATGAAATTAAAATCCCTATTTGGCAATTTTTCAGACTTCCTAATGGTGATGAGCAAACTCATCACTCAGCTGGAGAAAGCTGGTCTTGTCAAGTTGTGTGCAGTGATTGCTAGCAAGGTGGAGAGGAGTTTTCTGTGCCTTTCAGCACTCTCAAAATCTCTTACTGGGGCCAGGTGTAGAGGCAGTTGCCCGTGATACAGTCCCCTTAGCAGATCAATTGCCTTCAGAAATTCAGCAATTACCATGCACCCCTACCTAAACAAAATTACTCACTCAGAATATTAATGAGTATTGATAGTGCTTTCTGTGGAAATCTTTGGGGTGAGATTTACTGTCATTTAACAAATAGACGATGTTTCCATAATAATAGGATAGCAAAAACATAAAAATAGTGTGAAAATAACTGGGTTCCTTTATTGGCTAGTTAGCTATTTCAATTTTAAAATTAATTTCACTTAAAACCATTTCAAATGGTTTTAACAGTTGTCATCTATTAGATACTATCAGTCACATTTAGGATCTGATTGTAGGAAATCCCTGGTTGATCAATATAAACTGCAGAAGACACCTGTTCTGCTCAGTTAATATTGGGAAGATTCAGACTCTCTCCAAGTTCATAGCTATTTCTATTCAGAGTTCTGTCTGAAACTGTTTCTCAATATATAGGAATTTAGACAGAAAGTTTTATATTAGCTAGCATACTGTCAGGTCCCAGTCTTCAGGTAGTCCGTGTGAGGCAGAGCCAGTGGCGGCTCCAAGGCCCCAATGTCTCTTCAGCATTGTGAGAAGACCTGCACTGGCAGAAGACCCTCCACTTGTGCTCTGAATAGTATCCTAATAGCTGCCACAGAATCAAGATTGTTTTTAAAGAGCAAATTGGTTTCCAGGTGCAGATTTGATAAATTCCAGGTACTGTTGCATATCTACAGATAGCAGCTTTATGATACTGCGAGAGTATGGAAAGGACACTGAGCATATACATGACTCAGAGTATTTTCCCAAATATGGGTTCTTTCAACCTCTGTGCAAGAAGCTGATCCAACACAGAGTCAAGGTCAAAAAACATGATTTGTTTATTTCATATCTGCACAGAGATGGGTGCTAGGTGATGAATCCACAAAGCTGGCACACTGTCAGTATGCCAGATGCTCATTTTTATACACTTGGAATAATAAAAAAAATGGCATATCCCATATACATAACAACCTAACGGTATAGTCACAGAAGGTTAATCTGAGAAGGTAGGTAGAGCAACATCACTTTTCAAACCATTCAATTGCTTTGATATGATTGGATTTGTTTCACTTGCATAAGGTGTTTTGTTTAAGCAAAGATGATCATTTGACCAGAAAGAAATCTAGGAGAATAGTTTTGCAGTTTTTCCTCACTGAAGAAACTTAACATTAGAGCCCAGATTTTAGGAAGATCTTGCGAGCAAATCAGGATTAGCAACAGCCACTGACAAAAGTAAAAGCCACAGCAGTGCAAACCAACTTGAAGTCAAATTAAACACACCCCTCGCTCCCCAGAGTTTACTGGATATGCTTTTACAGTGTCATTCACTCCAATGTTAAATTCTACTCTTTTAAAATCTTGATGTTTATTTTCCCAAGAGGCTGGGAAATAGCTGTGTAGATGGCTCAGTACACTTTCTTCTCAAGTACTGACTTACCTCACTAAAACTAGAAGAGTTCCCTCAGAGCACTTAGAGCTTCTAGAATTGCTTGTGTTACAATTTGCTACGAATTTCAAGAAATAAAGGGGTTTTTGTGGCTCAATTCAGTTTATTGCATGGCACTAGAGGCCACAAAAGGCTTGTAGTGCAGCATTATAGTACTAACATTTTAATAATAGCTCCTTCAGTAGTAATGCAAAATAAATTGTGACCCAACTTTAGTTTAAGAGACATTATTTCAACAGCAAGGGCATCTGTTGTATGTCATCAGCAGTTCTTGAAGGAACTTGCTAATGACATTAGAAATCAAGTTCTTAATTTTCTAGAAGGAATGAACATATTCTATTAAAGACACTGAATGTCTTGCTGGAAATTCTTTGTTCATTGAAATTTCATGGCACATGTTTCACATCACCTATTTAATTTGCCATATTTTCTTTCAGATAATTTTATGACTGATGATTCCTGTTGGCATCTGACCTTCAGATTAATTGAAACTGAAAGGGGTAAAAGTAGCTAATTTCTCCTTATATCAATAGTTGCAACATCTGTATTTTAGTTAAGAAATAGGCAAAACAGTCCTCAAGCCTGCCAAGATTTGCATAATGCTTGTAGGAGGGGATATATTCCAGAAAGCTGCTTCTTCAGACAGAAGCAGCTATAGAAGCATTAGTAGTGAAAAAGGTTCTGGGAGTCTCATCTGCAGTAATGATCCTGATGACCAATACCAGGAACTGTGCCTGGACTACAGATATGTCAGTGGAGACAAACAACAGAATGTCTTTTCCATCTCTATCTATTGGAAACAGTCTTTTGGGAATGGTGACACATGCCTAATGCCAGGTTAAAGAGGGAGTGGAAGGCAAGCAATTAATGAATTAGTCTAGTCTAGACTGAATTGAGGAGAATTTATGTTTTCTTCTTTATTTTATTTCGATTTAAAAAATACTACAATTGTACAGTTTTGGTAGTGGTTGTGGGAGGAGGAATACACTGTTTCACTGCAAGTTATTTTTGTATTACTCTGAATGCATTAACTTTGTGGGACCTACTGGAAAGAAATTAATTTCCTGGAGGAGATATTGATACATAGATACAACTTACCTACTTAGTTGTAAGTAAGAAGATAGGAAATAATTTTTCAGCTACAGGATCAGAACTTTATTCACATTTCCTTGGACTTTATTCTCTAGTATGACCATGAGCTGTGTGATCCAATTTTGTTTGGAAGAGCACATAATATTTCTAAAGTGATTCGTAACTAACAATGTAACTCCATTTATTTCAGATAGTGTTCAATCAAGTATTGGTAATATAACACCATAGTGGTGAGATGGAAAGAACAGACGAGGAAACTTCCTGGTCTGTGAGACACCAAGGTTTTCTGTAGTACTGAATACAACATGCTTTTCGTATAAAAGGGTGTTTGTACCAGGTGAGATCTGAGCATGATGTGGTGTCTGCAGTGTGTTCATGGCAGGAAGACCTAATGAGGGCTAATAGAAAGGTAACTTACAGAGAAGACATTTTATTTCTCTAGAAAGACTCAACATGCAACAATGGAAAGAATAGATACATCAGTGTATGGTACAGATAGACTATGGCTGTCCCAAAGTAGCTAAAATCAGCTTCTCAATATCGCACTCGTTTTGTCCACGTAGAATCCTAAAATAACCATTTTCTCCCCAAGATTTTCCCCAGGAATTTGCAGCAATCTAAAAGTAAACAAAGCAGAAAAAAAAATTATCAGCTTTAATTTTAAAGTAGTATTTAAAAATGCAAAGTGTAAAATACAAAATTAATTTTTGGTTAGTTTTCTTTTTAAGAAACCGAGTTTCTCAGATTTGGTGCTCTGAAAATCAGCATACATCTTTTTCTGATATCTAGTAATTTGTTCCATTTTACTTTGATCAAAGTTTCTGTTCTGAAATTGGGGTTAATAGAAAGGGAATATAATTTCTATGAGACAGTTTGATAAATTGAAGCAGAAATTATGAGACAAAAATTTGACTATTGGCTGCTGAAAGAGGACATTGAAACAATAATAGTCGCAATACCAATTACAACTAATCTGTTAAAGAGAGACCAAAGATACAAATAAAAAAGATAATTTAATAAATAAAGTTTCATTGAGGTAGCTATTGACATATTGAGAAATTTAGTTTCTGATGAAGCCAGTAGTTCTCAGTATTTTTTGCCAGTGAAACTACTACCATAAGCTCTGCCATCAGCTATGGAAACTCCAAATTACTTTTTGATGAACACAGGAATAATGAGATAAGCTGTTCATCCAAGTGATTAAATTTGACTTGCTCTAAATGGCTTAAAGGAAATGTTCTTTGGTTGGTTGGTTTGGGGTTTTTTTCCTGATAGCTGGACAGCAATTACTAACACTGTTTAAATAGACAATTTGTCTTTTCTAAATGTTTTAACAAATATTGCTGATTACTTTTATTCAGTCTCATTTGTAGACATCAAAAAGAACAGATTCTTCATGGAAAATTTTAATAACATTGAAACAGAAAAGACAGTGCAGGAAAAAACACAGATATAAGTGGGATGAAACAGGCTTTGAAATAGAGATAGATGATACTATAGTTCAAGGGTCAGCATGATAGAAGTTGCCATAGAGGGAATAGAATTATGCAGGACACTTTCAGGTGAAGGAAAAAAAATAGATGCAGAGAGAGTGAATGAAAGTAAAGAATTAGCTTTTAGATGATCTGTGTTGTAAAGATCTTTTTTTTCTGCCTCAAAACACAGTCCTAAGGATTCACTTACCCAAAACTTCTGTTTCTGTCCATTTTTGTCAGGTAATGACCCCCATCTGTTAGAAAAGAATGGTACTTTGATGCAACAAATAATCAGGGGAGAAGAGCTTGTCTTAGTTAGTGGTCCTAATTATCAGTATCAGAACAAAGCATGGATAACAAACTCTGATGATGATGAAAATGAAGATAAGTACCCTGCTAACCACAAGTCAAATTGACATTAAGGATTACAAAAACTTAATGCAAGTGTAGTTTTAATTTGTCCTTCCAAAAACCTGTTTTCATTGACGAAATCTCTCCTCTGGAGGGCTTGCCAGTTGAACTGAACACTGTAGGAGTATTGAAATTAATGTGAACACATTTCTTCAACTTAGCTGAAGATCCCTGTGAACACTTTTTTAAGGATCTCATCCAACACTTTTACAGAAATAGCTTACTCCGGACTTTGGGGGACAGATGACAACAGGGTCTGGAGTGAGTGGGGACTGAAAATGTTCCCAGTTTTTCTTAGTTCAAATTGAATTGCTGACAGCCTAATCTGTTTTATTGCACAGTGTGTGTGGGGATGACTTCTAAACTTACTTGCTGCTTTTGACATTTTGAGGACATGCTTAATTTGGTGGGAATATCCTTGAAACCACATGAGAGATTATCACCACCTGCAAGGTGATAGAACTTTCATAGTTGTGTCACTGTAGTTGAACCACATAGTATTCTGATTTCTAGGCCTCACTTTATACACAGGGCAGAAAAAGTTCCAACCTCATCATCTGGATGTATTTCAACAAGCAAAAGCTGCATTGCACACCTTGGTAGCTATGGTATGTTTACTGGATACTTAAAGATCTCTGTGTTGTTTTGAATTTATACAACGAATGCTTGTCTAATTATTACTATATACCCTATAAAAGGGCACAAATAAACAGAAAAACAAAGATGTGAAATTTGCACATTTTCCCACAGTGTAAAGTTAATCCTAGGATATATCCAATGCCATTAACAGGGTGTAATGGCCAGTCTTCGCGAACGAAGATTTTGGGAAAGGTCTTTTACCTTTCAAGCCTGCGCAATGGATTTTTAAGGTGAGACACAGCCTGCGCTGAACTGAGCCCACCCTTTAATCTTAAGGTTCATCTGCCGGGGCCAAGCAATCTTGGACAATGGCAGTGAGGTCCTCAGGACGTAGGTTGGTTTAGAGTGACCTTCTCATAGATGGATGGCCTCACAGGGCTAACGGGCTCCATCTGCCCGGGGGACCGAGGAATCGAACCTGGGTCGCAGCAGTGAGAGTCCTGCATGCTAACCACTAGGCCACCAGGGGTCCCTAACAGGGTGTATATCAGTGTATATCCCACCAACACCACATTTGAGCTGTATTTGCAGTGCACTGTTCACTTTGAAAGAAAAGCAACAAAAATATATTGTATTTGAACAGCCACAGTGGCATCAACTCTCCTTGCTTAACAGTGAACTCCCATTTACATGGAACACCTGCATTTTCAGCCAAAGAGAAAAGAAAAGACAAATGAGTGACTAGAACAGAGGTAAAGTGTGAGTTACAGTTGCAAGCACAAATTGCAGCTACTGCTCATTAAACACAAGGAATCATAAAAACAATGTTGGTCATAGTGATCATGGAATTGTTGTTTTTTAAAGGGCCTTATGATGCTTTTTGTTTTAATCACCAAGTGAAAGTTCAAGAATTATTAATAATCTTTGATATTTCTTTGACAAATATATTTTAGATACAGTCTGTCATGATCACAAATTTAAAAAACAGATATATCATAGTCTATCAGATTTCATGTCAGATTCAGATTTACTTTTTCCCTCATGACCATTTTACTAAAAAAATTTACATCAGCTGTAGTGCGAAAGTCCAATATTTCAGTCTTAAAGACAAAGTAAAATTGTCTTGAATTTATATTCATGTATTCCTGCATTCTGTAGTATGCTTTATTTCTCCCACTCATTTGAGTAGAATGATGACCAGTTCTCTCAGATGCATATTTCTGTGATTAAATGTTTTTATAACATCTAAATGTTTTTATGTTCTAAAAGAGTCAGCATCTAGTTTCATACACTGATTGGAATTTATCTATTCTCAGAAATGTTTCTAAATGGAAGAAAACTTGGAAACCAAAATGGAAAAAGATCCTTTTCTTATCTTGACTATAACATATCCATGAATTTAATTTCCTAGGTTTTGTTCCATCAGTCTGATACCTACTTACTTGGCATATGCATTTTATTTACAGTTTAGAAAGAAGAGCTGTTTACTCAGTAATCAATGCCTATGGGCACTCCTCAAATACTCTAAATTAAAATATATTAAATTAAAATACACAGGAGTGCAGCCAGTAGGTCCAGAGAAGTGACTAATCCCCTTTTTATGGGACCTGCCATTCTGTGTCCAGTGACCAGTCTTGGGCTCCCCCACATGGAAAGACATTAACAGGCAGGAACAAGACCAGCAGGAGTCCACAGAGATGTTTGGGATCTTGAGCACATCATGTATGAAGAGAGGCTAGGGGAGCTGATTTTGTTCAACCCTCAGGAGAGATGGCTCAGACTAGATCTGTTTGTTGTCTTATGCTTTACATAGGGTGGGCACAGAAAAGATAGAGCAGACTCTCCGGATATATTGTGGTGGTGCCCCCCGTCCTCCTTCCACATCCGCCACTTGAACCATAACCAGCAGAGGTGGTTGTGATGGCTGCATCCAGCTTACTCCGGACTTTTTGGGACAGATGACAACAGGGTCTGGAACAGAGACCCAGATGTCTTATTGGCATGTAAATAAGACTTAAAGTATATCATCTGGCCCATGGACCACTGAGCTTCCCTGCACAGCACAGGTCATTGGTCACAGCCAGCATAGCTTCACGAGAGAAAGTCCTGCTTATCAAACCTGATTTCCTTTTATAACAACCTAACCCATCTAGTTGATCAAGGAAAGCCAGTTGATGTCATCTTTTTGGATTTCAGTAAAGCTTTTTATACTGTCTCTCAAAGTATCCTTCTGGACAAAATGTCCAGCACACAACTGGATAAACACATCATGTGGTGGTAAAGTAACTGGCTCACGGGTCAAGCACAGAGGGTAACAGTGAATGGGGTAACATCAGACTGGTGACCTGTCACTAGTGAAGATCCTCAGGGCTCCATCTTAGGTCCTGTGCTCTTCAACATCTTCATAATCAACTTGGACACAGGACTGGAAGGGATACTAAGCAAGTTTTCAGACGATACAAAACTAAGAGGAGTTGTTGACCCCCTCAAAAGCAGGGAGGCCCTGCAGAGAGACCTTGATAAATTAGAGAACTGGGAAATCACCAACCATATCAAGTTCAACAAGGGAAAGTGCACCTGGGATGGGACAACCCTGGCTGTACGTACAGGCTGGGAAACGACATGCTGAAAAGCAGTGCTGTGGAAAGGGACATAAGGGCCCTGGTCGATGGCAAGTTGAATATGAGTCAGCAGTGCCCTCGCAGTCAGTGTCAATTCACACACTGAGGCAAGATAATTCTGTTTATTCTAGTTTGACAAAGTAGGGATCTTGGTGGTAATCCACAAAAGGGTAGCTCCCCAATCATGACAACTTTATATTATTTAATTTTAACAAACAAAGGCATCAGCATTCATTGATTACACATTACATA